GTGGAGAAGAGGAACCCGAGCCAGTCCGCTGCCTCCCCTGGGACAGCAGGTTCCGGCCGCAGGATGTGGCCGGTGCTCAGGACGGAGGAGGCGTTAGATCTGTGGGTGGAGAACAAATGGAAAGCGGATTCCGACTGACAGCAACTGTTTCCCAGAAGGCACAGACCCTCTGCGAGGCCCTCAGCAGGGACCCCGAGACACTGCCCTGAGACTTCGTCACAGTAGACGTTAGCACTGCTCTACCGTATTACTAGTTACTGTTAATCTCTTACTGGGCCGGCCTGATTCGTAGATTACAGTTGTCACAGGTGCGTAGGTGCAGGAGAAACAGTGTCTACAGGGTCTGGTACGATCTGTGTGATGCCTGGAGCTTATTACCCAGCAGGGAGCCAAGGAGGAGACTGTGGGTGGGGAGGAGGCCTCCCCATCCCGTCCGCTTAAGGATAGGCTGGGCCACTGGGTGGGTGACGGTGCCACTGCTGAGGTGGGAAGAGCTGGGGCAGGGTGTGGGGGTTGGGTCATGGTCACATAACGCCTTTCAGTGTCTGTGTGGAAATGGCAAGTCGCCAGCTCAATTATAGGATGGGACTCGGGGCTGTTCCTTGATAAGCAGGGTTTTAAAGCCTTGCGGCTGACAGGACCCCCATGGTGGTTGCAGAGAGAGGGGAGACAGGGACCCAGTCCAGGCACAGTCCAGGGCACAGGCAAGGGGCCCTATGGTAGGAGGGGCCAGGAGGGCTGGCCATGTGGGCTCCATCATGTGGGCTGAACCACGTCACACTTGTCATCCTGGAGGTCAGTGGGGGCCTCCCTGGACATGGCCTGTGGGAGTGGGGGGCAGAAGCCACCTTGCAGGGCCCGGGATGGGGGTGTGAGGAGCTGCCCTGGGGTCTGCACACCGCTCCCACGTGACGCTGCCCAAGGAAGGCGGCTCAGAAGGGTGGGAGCCAGAGGGGGACACGGGGTCACAGGAGGGCTTTCCTGAGCTGGGGGTTAATAGAGTGTGTGTGTCCTGATGGGAAGGATCTGGGGGAGAGGCCGGCAGGTCTGACGTGGGGGCCCCTGGCTCTGGTGCAGTTCAGCAGGGTGAGTTAGGAGCAGGGCTGCCAGCAGGTGGGAGAAGCGGACAGAGGCCTGGCCTGATTGCTCGGGTTGGTGGAGGGTGGCTGCTGGGAGAAGAGGTGGGAGTGCGAGGAACAGGCCAATGTGGCCAGTGGGCAGAACGCCACGGGCAGTGACTGCGGTGACGGCCTCTCCTGACTGTGCTGTCCTGCGGTGTGTCCCCTGCTCCAGGTGCCCTCGATGTCTGCTGTGGTGTGCACCCAGTGTCCGCCAGCTCCGCAGACATGGTAGCCACCGTCCTTGGCTCTGTGCTGTGTGGCCTCGGTCGCCGTCACATCTTGTGACGCCTGGGCTGGCGCTGTGGCTCTGCCGCTTCCCAGTTGGGGCTTTAATGGGCCGCGTCACTTCACAGAAAGCTAGAGGCTCCAGCGTGGACGGTGCAGGGTTGCCTCCAGGCCGCTGAGCACGCGGTGGGTGCGCATTGAACACGATGGGTGCTGCTGACTCATCACAGGCCCCTGTGAGCCCAGGCTTCTGAAGGGTGTGGGCTCCTGTGGGAAGTCCCTGGGCGCCGCCTTCCTACCCCCACACCCTCTTAGAGGAGTGTGTTTATCGTGTGATAAATGTCAGGTTTCATGTCAAACCCAACGTGCTGGTCATTGGGTGGCAGGCAGGCAGATCCAGCCCTGACTGAGCTGCAGCCCCACCGTGAGGAGGTGGAGAGGGCAGGAGGGGTGTCCTAGCCCCTCATGTCCCGTCACTGCGGACTGGGTGCTTTGTGGGGGCTGAGGGCAGGTGTCTCAGGAAAGAGCGGTGCCCGGTCACATTCGCTTTCAGGTTCTGCCAGTTCCCACAGGAGATCGTCGTGCAGATGGTGGAGCGATGCCGCGTGAGGAAGCTGCAGCTGCTGGCCCACCAGTACCTGATCCCCAGCAAGGTGGAGTTTTACGTCAGCGAGAGCCTGCCCGAGTACTTCACGCCCTGCCAGGCCGAGCGCTTTCGCAGACTCGGGTAAGGGGCAGGTGAAGTGTGAGGGCAGCTGGACCTGAGAGCCGGAAGCTCCCCTGAGGGCCCCGCCCCTGGGTTCCAGGTCCCACCCTCGGACCTGGATGGAGATGGCACAACTCTTTCCCCTGCCCCGTGTTAGCAAGCAGTGTTGTCATCCCTGCCAGTGGTTCAACCCGACTGCTCAGGTGCAGGACTCGCCTTGAGAATACCGGTTAGAGTTCAGCATCCAGACTTCCTCCCGGGGGTCTCCTCTTAGACCTCACTCTCCTTAAACCCTGTGCTGAGTGGGAACAGGGCACTTTCCTGACCAGCACGAGTCTGCTGTGTTCTCTCTCAGCTATGTTTCCCTCTGCGACAACGAGAAGACAGGCTGCAAGGCCCGCGAGCTGAAGTCAGTGTATGTGGACGCAGTGGGGCAGTTTCTGAAGCTGATTTTTCACCAGAACCACCCCAACAAATACAACGTCTACAATCAGGTGAGGCCCGTGCCTCCAGTGGCTGGCTTCCTGCTCTTTGTAGGGGCCCCGAGACAGGCTGTAGGCTCGGTCTGCAGCAGGCCCACCGCGAGCTGGAGGGCAGCTCCTCCCCACGTGTGTCACCAGGAACATCGGGTGGGACCCTCGTTCGGTTACAGAGATTCTCAAGGAGTGAGGTGGGGAGGGGGATCCTCCCCCTCAGGGGAGAACCTTGGATGGACGGAGCTGGAAACCTAGGTTTTCATTTCCTTGTCTGATTTACCATGATTAGTATGGGCGTGGTCCCTACTCTGCCTGGAGCAGATGGTTCCCCGAGAGGCTGTGAAAATCGGGAGGTTCTTAGCTGCTACCGTTTTCATGTCCTTGCACATTAAAATGGCCACTTGGTTCAGTGTTAGAACATCAACTTATATAACTTAAAATAGCCGTTATTAATAATTGTACATATTGGCACGTTTTATGGCTAATGCGCTTCCACGTGCGTCATCCCATTGATGACAGTCGTTACAAAGGGGTTACGTTATCGCAAACCTTTTATACTCAGTTTCTGTTGATTCACCTCCCAGGTCGCTCTGGTTGCGATAAACATCATTGGAGACCCTGTGGACTTCGGTGATGAAAGCAACATTGTAAGTCTGGGAAGTTTTATTTCTTTATGTATTTTTTATTTTTATTTTTGAGAGAGAGAGGAAAGGATAGGGAGAGAGAGAGAGAAACATCAATGATGAGAATCATTGATCGGCTGCCTCCTGCACCCCCCTGCTGGGGGTCTACCCACAACTCAGGCACGTGCCCTGACCGGGAATCGAACCGGCAACCTCTCAGTGCATGGGGTCTGTGCTCAACCACTGAGCCACAGCGGCCGGACGGGAAGTTTCATTTCTAAAGAAGAGAATTTATTTCTAACAGGAGGGAAGCATTTATTTTTGTCACAAAAGGTATCATAAAATATGGATAGAATTGACTGACGAATAATTGTTAAACTTACTTTGACCCCAGAACTGTAGCCGTCCTCCGAGAGACTGGCTTATTGGTGCTTGCTGACACCTTTAAGTCAGATCCCCCGCAGTTAGGTTCTGTGCTATTTCCCTTTCTCCTCTGAGATGCTAACAGAACTTCTTGCTCCCAAGACCTCTAGGGAGAAGCTGATTGACCATTACCTGGGGCACCACACGGAGGACCCAGCCCTGGAAGGAACCTGCACTGGGTAAGGGCCCCTCCCGCAGGCAGTGAGCTTCCGGGACTCCCCTTAGGATCCCTGAGGTGCGAGGCGCCTCCAGGGGGCACCCACCCGAGGTCCTCCGAACGCAGTGCAGAGCTCTCTCTACAACCTCATCTCTTGTTCGTGCAGGTATTACTAGCAGGTTTCTAAAGTGCGTTTGAAAAAAAGATCCACCAGCCATCTATCTGTTGGTATTTTATTGGCACAGGCAGATTCACAGGTAAAAAGTAAAGGCATTCACGTATGTCTGCTTTAAAACCTTATTTTTTAAGGAAGTGAGAAGCACATGTCACAAAAGTTGTTTTTTCCTCACAATAGTGACTTTACTTAGTTGCTACATCAGTTTTCAGAATTACAGTCGCTCCCCACGTTCTTCACATTAACAGCCGTAGGTGCGTCTTTGCTTTGCTGCCCCATTTTAGATGTAGGACTCGTGGTAGGTCAGAGGCAGGGACACTCTGCTCCCAGGCACCCTCAGCCCCTGCCGGCTGCTTACTGCAGCCAGGGGACCCCTGCACAGGGGCCGGTCTACAGAGAAGGGACTCAAGACCACACCCAGCGCCTCCTCTGACAGCAGCCTCCCGGCCAGGAAAAGAGCAGACCCTTGGATTTTAGCAGAAGGCGGGACTGTGCACAGCTTCTCAGATTCCACTTCCGCTGACACAGAGCCAGAGCTGTGACACAAAGTAACTAGTCCTCAGGCCGCCCCTCCTCTCTGCAAAGAGTCCCAGCTGTGACACAAAGTAAGTAGTCCTCAGTCTGCCCCTCCTCTCTGCAAAGAGTCCCAGCTGTGACACAAAGTAACTAGTCCTCAGTCTGCCCCTCCTCTCTGCAAAGAGTCCCAGGTGTGACACAAAGTAACTAGTCCTCAGTCCGCCCCTCTTCTCTGCAAAGAGTCCCAGGTGTGACACAAAGTAACTAGTCCTCAGTCCGCCCCTCCTCTCTGCAAACAGTCCCAGCTGTGACACAAAGTAACTAGTCCTCAGGCCGCCCCTCCTGTCTGCAGAGTTCCAGCTGTGACACAAGTAACTAGTCCTCAGGCCGCCCCTCCTCTCTGCAAAGAGTCCCAGCTGTGACACAAAGTAACTAGTCCTCAGGCCGCCCCTCCTGTTTGCACAGAATATGGAGCCTGCGGTCCCCAGAGCCACGGCTTTCGTCGAGTGAATTCATTATTATACAGATTTACCAACCAATTTTTTATGACAAATTAAACCTTACCTATATGTAAAGATACCCAAGTCAAAGTAGACAGTGGCGTATTTCCTGCTGCTGACAGAGCAGACAGGGAGACATTGACACCTGCCCTCTGTTAGTTTTGCTGCGTTAGGCGCATTGTTGATATAAATGTTATACCCAGAAGGAAGCTGCCACCTGCTGTGGAAACTGAAAGAAGGAACAGAAGTGAAATGGGCTCTGTTAGTCAGAAATCGGCTGTTTCACTAACCAAAGAGGCCATGTGTTTCTAGATGGATTTTCTTTTTTTTCTTTTTTAAATATATCTTTATTGATTTTAGAGAGAGGAAAGGAGAGGGAGAGAGAGAGAAAGAAACATCCATGATGAGAGAGTCATTGATCGGCTGCCTCCTACACGCCCCTAACTGGGGATCAAGCCTGCAACGCGGGCATGTGCCCTGACCGGGAATCGAACCCCGATCGCCTGGATCCTAGGTCGCCACTCAACCACTCAGCCATGCTCAGCTGGGCTGGATGGATTTTCTGATCTCCTACAGGGCTTGAGGGTTGACGACAGTATTTGACACTGAGGTAAAATCCAGAAGAAGCAACTGTTTCTCTTTAATGTCCACCAGTCACTGAGGTGCTGGCGTGAATCGGATGCCTGGCTGTCCAGGCCCACCAGGTACCCTGCTCAGCGGTGGGGCCTGGTCAGCACTGTTCTGGGTTTGGTTTTCTGCCTCCTCCAGACGATTCCCACGTGCTGTCCTATCCCCTTGCCTGGAGCAGAGCCTGGCAGTCTGACCTGGGAGGAGCTGTGATGGCCAAGGCTCCGCTGCCCCAGCGGGCAGTTGGATACAGGCCAGAGCGTAAGGCGTGCAGTCAAGGTGCCCCACTGTGCAGCTGTGCTACCTGAAACCGCACTGACTCCGGAGGGGAGAACCTCCAGGGATGGGGGGACACACTCTCCCAACCATCTGTGTCTCAGCACTGAGCCCCCAAGGCTCCTCCACACACACACCCGTCTCCCATAGATGGAAATTGGCTTTAAAATGCTCGTTTCTTTCCTATAGGAAATCTGACTACATTTCCCCACTGGATGACTTAGCTTTTGATATGTACCAAGACCCAGAAGTTGCACAGATTATTCGCAAATTAGATGAGAGAAAGCGCGAAGCCGTCCAGCAGGAGCGCTATGACCACGCCAAGAAGCTGAAACAAGCAATCGCAGACTTGCAGAAGGTACTGCCCTAGGGAGATGGGTCCTCTGCGCCCACGCGGGGTTCGCATTACATATACACCCCTAGCACGTAAGGGGGTCACTGATGCTGCAGAAGTGGGTGTGGGTTCAACAATTGGGCAAAATAGGGTGGGGGCCAGGCAGGCGCCTGGATAAACCTGTAATGAACCCGGGTGTCCCTCTCTGGACGTCATCCCAGGTGCCGGGTAGGAACACATCACTGACGAGTCAGACATCGCCACGAGCTCGGGGTTTCTTAGGCACCACTACAGCCGCGAGCAGCGGGAGCTTTGCAGGGCGTGTGGTCCACACCTTCCACTGCTCCACAGACCGCTTGTCCCCACAGGACACGTAGGCGGCCAGCACCTCTGCCGGGAGCATGACTCAGCTGTCAGCTGGGGCGGGTGGAGCATGTTAGCGACAGCGGGCTGTGTGCTGCAGGTTGGGGAGCGGCTGGGGCGCTACGAGGTGGAGAAGCGCTGTGCCGTGGAGAAGGAGGACTACGACCTGGCCAAGCACAGGAAGCGGCAGATGGAGCAGTACCGCGCCCGGGTGTACGCGCAGCTGGAGCTGCACAGCCTCCTGGACGCCGACCTGGTAGGCCTGGGGCTGGGCGAGGTCTGGGTGCCTGAGAGGGTCCATAGTGCTGTCCCTGCAGCTGGCACCTGTTCTGTAAAACCCAACGGGCCAGCCTGCTCAGGAGACGCCGCTCGCCTGTGCCTGCCGCAGGTGGCTCTGGCTTCCGTCTCCTGCAGGGCTCACAGCGGAGCAGGAGGGAGGGGGCGGGGCAGGCATCCTGCTCACTGGTGTTTCCTCGTTAGTGAGCACGAGCTGCTGACAGCCCTGCCCCGTGCCCCTGGGGGAGCTGTGTGGAGTGGCACTGGGCGTTACGTGTCCCTTTCTCCCCAGATGCGAAGGCCTTTTGATCTGCCGCTCCAGCCCCTCACTCATTCGGGCAGCCCTCGCCACCAACTGCCAGTGCTGCCACCGCCACAAGAGGAAAGGGTGACAGAAAACCAGTGTGCAGACCCCTGCCTTCAGGAAAAGCCCCCGTCACAGCCCCTGGACATGTCCCCTCCGCACGGCACTGCCGACCAGCTGCTGCCCCCCACACACCCTCGTCTCAAGACCCATGTAGGTAACTCAGTTCCCAGGGTGTGCGGTTTAGTCAGCAGGCCAGCAGGGCCCGCGTGGTGCTGGGTGCTGTCCCAGTGCAGGGGTTGTTAGGGTGCAAAGCAGCCAGCCCTCCCCCCGTGCCGCCTTCGGGAGAGGAGGCAAACGCTGCAGCCGGAGCGTGATGGTGTGAGCGACCAGCTCGCAGCCACACCTCCTCGGGCCTGCTGCCGTCAGCTGCTCTGGGCCTCACGGCTGCTGGCTGAGCCTCCGCTGTCCCCTGGTAAAACCTACAGACCTCTGCTCCGGGGCTATCTGCAGGAATAAATGAAGCAGTTTTGTAAGGCGTCTGGCATGAACTAAACACTACACGTCAGTGCAGTTACCATACCTGGGGGGACTGTGTTGTCAGTAATGGGAAACCTGCTTCAGACGCAGGTCACTGGCCTTTGTAACGAGGAGCTTGGGGTCACCGGGGTTGGATTCAGTAGATCCAGGAGCATCAGAAGCTCATTCCTATCTCCCCACTGTCTTTCTCGCACGTGGCCCCAGCTTCACTCTGTACATGGTACCATCTAGGGGAGAGCACATCCCCTTATCAAAAATCCCAAATTCACCTGGTTACGTTAGCCTTGGTCACATGACGATGCCAGAGGGAAACGTCCCTATTGGCTGGTTAGGCCCTCCCTCCTGGAGCTTCTGGGGAGGAAGGGGGGTGCCAGGTGGCCATGGGCAGGTGTCCGCCGCAGCCAGAGGCCTGGGTACGCCAGAGGACCTCAGTGCACAACAGTGTCCCCGTCACCCCCACCGGTACCATCTTGTCACAGCATAATTGTTTGAGTTACATTTAATACTCCAACTTAAAAGTGCTCTAGTTTCTCCATTCTTAGTGTCTCAGCGTGTTTTATTTTACGACTAGGAGCAGATGGTAGACTAGGAGAACCTTCCTCTTGCCTGTGCGCCCAGAACTTTCACGTGTGAGGAATGTTACATATTCCTGTCTGCTCGGGGCCACCGTGACGCCTGCCTTGGAAAATGACTCGGGGCCACTCTTTTCTGTCTTCACTTCCTTACCTGAAAGTCTGCTTCATATTTACCTGTCTGTGCGTCTGTCTCTCCGTGAGAATGCAGCCCGGGAGGGCGGGCCCTCCTGCCCATTGCTCCGCGGGGGCACCCGCCCAGGCCTGGGTCGGGGCTCTGGAGAGACGGCGCCCCTGTGGAGAGGCTGGTTGGAGGAGTGGGAGGCTGCTGGGTGATGCACACGGTTAAAGTCGGGCTTGATACTTTTTTCTGAGCCGTAAACTGAGAAAATACAACCTGCGTGTTTACTGAGCCGGGACGGCTGGTGGTGAACCGGGAGGAGGCAGCGTCTGCACCGCCGCTTGTCGGGGCTGCGGCGAGTTGGGGAAGGAGCAGAAGCCCCGATTGTACTGTCAGCTGCGTCTGCTGTTGTATAAATTGTTCTGATCTGATGGTACTGGTATTGAGCACAATCCCGTTCGGACCCAGGGTGGCCAGAGCAGTGAGCCTGCGGTAGATGGATGCTGGGGTGGGGGATCCCCACGGGGGCCTGCAGCCCGCTTCCTCTCCTGCAGCTCGAGTCCCTGCCCTACGACGAGCGGCCTCTTCCCGCCATCCACAAGCAGCCCGGGCCGACCGCTGTGGAGCCAGAAAAGAGCGACACGGACGACAGCGAGGCTCCCAGAGCAGGCGCTGCAGGCGAGCCGGAGCCCTTGGCGGAGAAGGCCCTGCGGGAAGCCGGCTCTGTCATCGAAGTGCTGGGGGAGACCCTGGTAAGAGGGAAACACCAGACACACGTGTGCGTGTGCCCTTGATGTGGCTCCACCTCCTGGTGACCCCATGAATGACGCCCACAGTGTCCTGTCCTCCGCAGCCCTGCTCGGCTCATGCAGACTCCTGCCTGAGGCTTTTTAAAAAATCTTTGCCCAAGGATATGTTTTTATTGATTTTAGAGAGAGAGGAAGGGGGAGAGAGAAACATTGACGTGAGAGAGAAACATCAATTGGCTGCCCCCAGGACGCGCCCTGACCAGGGATCAAACCCACCACCTTTGGGTGCAGGGGACTGCGCTCCAGCCGCCCGAGCCACCCAGCCGGGGCCAGCCTGTGGATTTTCGTGGCCTCCGCCCAGCTCACGTTTGGTCTCCCTCGTTTCCTGCTGTTCCATTTCCCACCTTCTCGTGATGCGTCCGAGCAGGGCGGCCTCAGCTTTGTCGTTTCGCCTCCGGCGAGGTTTCCGCTTCATTTGCTCGAGGACCCTCTTGTTCATCTTGGGTCCAGCGTCCCCTCCGTGGAGCCCTCCTCCAGCACCATGTTTCAGACGAACCGCGTTTTCCCAGCAGCCTCCTCTCTGCCCAGCTCCTGCGCCCTGGCAGGAACTGGGGTGTGAGGCTGTGGTCTCTGATGACGCATCTGTGCCCTCGAGCTGTCCGAGGCTCCCCTTTGTCCTCATGCTCAACTGGAAAGTCTTGTGCTAATGACTGTATGAAAACAGAAACAGAAGCCGGGGTTCCAGATTTCACGAGTGCTCATTTAATACCTTTCCTTCCCGGTGCTGGTGTTCACAGAGCTGGCAGAGCCCGTCCCCCAGAGAGACGGTGAACCGGACCAAGGCCAGCCTCTCCTCAGCACAGGAGCCCGGTGCAGGGTCCCCTGTTCCCACGACAGTCGCTCTTAACCGTCTCCACAGCTAAGCACAGGCTTAAATTTTCCACAAAGAAAAATGACTTCTCTAAATACAAGTACTTACTCTGTAGAGGTCCTGGGATAAGAAAGACTTTTCCATTTGGGACAAAGGCTCCGGTGGTGCGTGCTGGGGGAGGTGTGATGCCACTGTCACTGAGTAAGCAGGACTCTGGTCTGCAGGTGGCTGGGGCCTATTCCAAGACCTGGTCGTACCGGGAAGACGCCCTGCTCACCCTGTACCAACAGCTGATGGAGACGCCTGTCGGGACCCCAAAGGAGGACCTGAAGAGTGTGCTGAGAGCGTCTGTCTTTCTCATCAGAAGATCCATCCGAGACATCGTGACCCCAGTGAGTCCCCTCCACCCCCAGTGCCCAGTGCCTGCAGTGAGAGGCCGTGACACACCTGGGGGTGGAGTAGCCGGGGCGGTCCTTGGCCACAGGAATCATCAGCTCCCACAGCAGAGTCCCCAGCAGTTAGGGTTCTAGAAGTGCCATCGGTGAAGAGACCGTGTCTGTCCTTGCTAGTCTTTTTTTTGGTGGTGGTGGTGAATCCCCACCCAAGAATATTTTCCATTGACTTTTTAGAGGGAGGGAGGGAGGGAGGGAGCGAGGGAGGGAGAAATCTATGTGAGAGACATCGATCGGTTGCCTCCCGCACGCACCCGGACCAGAGCCAAGGATTGAACCTGCAACCCAGATACCTGTCCTTGATCGGGAATCAGACTCGTGACCCTTCAGTGTGCAGGTTGGCGCTCTAACCACTGAGCAACACTGGCCAGGGCATCCCCTGTTTCATGCTTCTCAAAGCAGGTGATCACAGAGGCCTGGTCACCAGGTCACGGACATCCACTCAGGATTTTGTTTATGGAACCTGAGGCTTCGGAGCTGCTGTTGAATTTGCTGACTCCAAACAGCCTCCCGATGAGCCCCCCCCCAGTTGCATGGCCTCCTGCACTCACACAGGGGCCTCCCCAGCTGAGCGGGGCTCTGTGATATGTGGCTCCGGGGCGTGTCGCATGCCCGTGGTACCCTGCAGTGAGAGAGCGTGTCTCCCACGCGGGGACCTGTGTTTAGGCAGCTGTTGTCAGTTTGCCATTTTCGGCCCTGCAAGCGGCATGCAGTTTCAGTGTGATCATTTTTATCACTGATAGCAAATTTCACGTTTGCTGTTAGCCGGATTAATTCGGGTGGCTCATCTGTTCTCACATGTCTTTCCTAGGTCTTCCAGGCCTCTCTGAAGCTGTTGAAAATGATAATCACACAGTTTGTGCCTAAGCATAGGCTTAGCAAGCTGGAGACGGCTCACTGTGTGGAAAGAACTCTCCCCGCTCTGCTCGCGAGAACGGGAGACTCCTCTGCTCGTCTGCGGGCGGCGGCTTCAAACTTCATCCAGGTACGTGCAGCAGGTTCCTGCTGTCCGGCAGCTCTGGCCCTGCCGGCGCCTGGCTCGCTCAGGCGGGGGGCCTGAGTCTGCTCCCAGCCCTGCCCAGCCTCAGGGGTCACTCCTGACTCTCCTGGGGCTCTGAAAGGTGCGTTTTGTCTCAGACAGGAGCTTTGATGAAAAAATAGTGGTTTTCTTTTGTTCCTCTAATTCAATATATGCTGTTTTTAAAATAGATAAAAATATGTGAAAAGCTAAATCAGTAGAACATTTAAGGGTAAAACAGTAGCCAGTGTGTTACTGTCTCGATGTATTTTCCCTTCCAACCAGCGAGTGTCCTCCAGGCCGGTGTTGACGTGCCGATCCGGCAGTGAGCTGGGACGGCAACGGCTGGGGCCCACGGGGAGGCACATTTAATTAGCCGATGCCTCAGTTTGCCTAGGAGTTTGGAAGAGAAGGCCCACGTTTGGGCCTCAGAAAACCTGTGCCTGCCTTAAAATGTTACCCACAGTTTTGTGAACCTGCATGTCTGCCTTGGACAGGAATCCAAACTGTCATAGTTTCTCAGAGGGATCCCGTCTCCACTCTAAAGAGTCGTGGAGCTCAGGTCACTTAGTGAACTTGAACTTCCAGTTAAAATGAACAGGTGATACTAACAAGAAGGTAAAAACCAGTCACTGTCAAGGTGCACAGTACACTCCTTATTAATGCAGCAGAACTGGGCGGATGTCGCCTTTCAGATGACGTGTTGAAGTGAGAATGCGCCCACTCATGTGTGACCCGCTTATCTTCTGGGTGGCTGGCGGTCATCACCGCATCGGACCGCGGGGTTAGGTTCCGCTCTGCCCTGCGGCCGGCGGCCGGCCTCGAGTTTCCACATCGGCAGCACCTGCTTGGCACTTAGGAGCCTGCTGCTGGTACCACCATGTCTGCAGAGTCGCTCACAGGCCTAGGTGCAGACTGAGCTGTGCAGACAACGGGGGTGCTTCAGGTGCTGTGACCTGCGGACCCACCGGGCACAGGTTTCTTTCTGAATTGCAGTTTACACGCCCGGTGTCACGGGAGGGGGCTGCAAGGGGCGTTTCAGAGGCGAGATCCCCAGCGTAACGAAGGCCCGCGGAGCCGACACCGAGAGAATGACGCCGTTACTGTGCACAGTGCGGGCTGTGTAGACACAGCACGCAGTGCACGGATGTCTCTGCGCAGTTGCATTTTGCTGAGTCATTACATACGGTCATCGGCACGCGCAGGGTGGTCGGGGCCATGGACGGGCCCCCGAGACTGATCAGCCCTTACCCGACACCTGACATTCGGCATTTTGACTCGCGTTCTGCTTCCGGATAACTCAGTGGTGGTTTATCTCCGGAGCCTCGACTGTAGAGTTTGCTTCTACAGGGAGCTGCGTGTGCGGCGCTTACTTCTCCCATCTTCACCCTCAGCAGGCCCGCGCTGGAGCGCCGTGCGTGGTTGCCCCTGGGCTGGCGTTTAATACACGCTGAAGTGATGCACAAAGCAAGGCTAATTTCTTTCAGGATTTTAGAAATTAGAAAACCTTTCTCTTGAGGTTGGGAAATCCTGGGGCAGAAAGCCGGGGTCTTCGAGCAGTTTTCTCCAAGGCCGTCCTTAGCCTCCGGGTGTGCGGGGCTGTATTTCCTCCCCTCCAGGTTTTTGTTTTACCTGTTGTCTTTTTTTTTT